GTGATCCACAAACTTTTCTGTAAAGGACCAGATAGTACATACTTTATGCTTTGTGGGCCATATGGTCTCTGTTGCAACTACTCAACTCTGCTGTTATAGAGCAAAAGCAGCCGTAGACAATGCATATGAGCATGACTGTGTCCCAGTAAAATTTTATTTACAAAAGCAGGTGGGACAGGTTTGGTGTATGGAGTTTAGTTTGCCAATTCCTGTTCAAAGTCATCCAAAGGAACTTCGCAGACAGGTGGAAGTCTTTGCTTTCCTCCTTACCCCATCTCTTCCTTTCCTTTTTCTCTTCTTGCTTTCCTTTCTTCTTTTACATTAACAGTGTCTCCTACAGCTACTCTGACTTGCAATTGAAGTGGTCAGAGTCCCCCTGAAATTATGGTCCCCAAAAGATAATCTTTTGAAAAAAAAAATCGCTAGGCTAAACAGAAATGAGACAAAGAATGGACTCGGACTCTGTTACCAAAGCTTATTTTAACAGAAATATCATTATTCTATCCCTGATTGGTGCGACCCGAGTGGCCTGCAGTGAGCACCGTTTGCCCTTCTTCCACCTGTGGCGAGCCTGACAAGGGCTGGGTGGAGGGTCATTTGATCTGCACAGGGATGGCTGGGGGCCATGGCGGTTTGACTTGGTTTGGTTTCATAGGGTTCATATATGGATGTAGACTCAGGGCTCTGAGTCCCAGCCCTCGCCTCTGGCACTAGGGTCTGCATGGCTTTCTGACCGGTTCTCTGTCACTTCTTCTGGCCATTGGGCAACGGACAACAAGAGGGTGAAAGGTCTTCTTTGGTGGGAGCAGAGGGTGCTGACTGTCCTCGTTCTTGACCCCTAAGGCCCCAGGGCACGATGGATCACAGTCCTTCCACCTATCTGTGCCGAGCCCTGTGCTGGAAGGGACCCCCTGGCAGGTTCATTGACATCTGGCTGCTCCTTGCATGTCCAGTGCTTTTCTGAGCTGGGATGGGATGAGGGACCCGCTGGAGAAATGGGGACAATCCAGACAACATTGGTCTTTGGAGAAGACATGATGGGTCGAGGGGGATGTTTTCCACCCTCTGGGTGAGGAGAAAGGAAGGAGGCTGGGGAGGACCTGAGGGGAGGACAGGCTGGGTGGTGCATGCTGGGGGCAGGGTGCTCCAGAGAAGGAGAAAGCAGGGACAGAGGTTGCTTCTCTTTGAGTTTTATCAAGTGGAACATGAAAGGCAACGTTGAACCTGAAGGTGGTTTTCTGATAACTTCCCTTTGAACTTGAAGTTTGGTTTCGATAAGCCTGGCCGGCTTGCATCTCCAGCCAGGACCTCTGCAGAGGGAGGCAGCAGCTTTGAAGATGGAGCTGGGCTTTGTTTTTCTTTCTTCTTTTTCTTTTTCTTCATGTTTTCCCCCCTGGGAAGATTGAATAGAGGATGTTGCAGGCCATGATATCACTGTGGTTTCTCCAGCGGGGCAGTTTTGGGGCAAGGGGGATCGTTTGGATCTAGGTTGCCAGCTGAGACCATGGCTCATCTACATCCTTTGCAAGCCAGCATTTATTGAGCACTTACTGTGTGTCAACACTGTGCTGAGTTAGCACTTTGGTCATTGCCCTCTCCCAGCAGCTCTATGAGGGAGAGACCATGATGTCCCCATTTTACAGATGAGGGGACTGAGGTCCAGGGAAGTCAAGTGATTTGTCCAAGCCTGCCCAGGCTAGTCAGTAGCAGAGTCAGCATATGAACCCAGGATATGAATCCAAACAGGCCATCTCCACTGTGACACTGTCATCTAGCTCAGCTACACCTGTCAGAGATGCTGGATGCTTCTAGAGCTGAGGGCTTCACTTAGCACTGGGAACACGGAGAGCCCCAGCTCCCAAACTCGTGGGGATGACAGTAGGGCCTACTGCTTTGTGGCCTGATGGAAGTGGCTATGCATTGTACCCTGTCTGGTCCTGTGATGGTGGCAGCTGTGGCCCAGCAGGGCACCAGGTAGATTTGGGATGGAGGAGTCAGGGTGGCCAAGGCTGTATGCGTGACTGTCCTTGGATCCCTGGCTGATTGCCCACCTGACTTCCCTGGGGCTCAGGGTTCCAATGGAGTGGGACACCCTGGCCACTGAGGTGTTTGTTTCGGAGGAGCAGGGAGGGCAGGACTTTGTTTTATCGACTACATCAGAAGTCATTGACATCAGTGGCCTTCCCCAACAACCACCCCAGTAGTGAGGATGCTCAGTACCCCCACTCTCAGGGTCCTCCGGGGAGTCAGATACTCTTTTAGGTTTGTTCTTCATTGTCTTCATTCTGTGGAGCCACCAGGAGAGGAGGAGGGATCAGTGACGAAGCCTGCCCCCAGGTCTCTAGCTGGAGTTCCCGGTGGCTGTAGGGAGCGGTTGCCTTGACGTGCGGGTGCTGTGGGCCACGGGCTCCCTGCATGCCACTGGGTGTGCTCGGGGTGAAGAGAAGGAAGGGGCTCCCAGGCCCAGCCGGGGAAGGAAGCTGTTGTGATGGAGCTGCCGGGCTGGTCAGTCAGCTGTTGCTGTGGCTTTCCTGTCCCGCCTGGTCTGAGCTGGTGAGCTGAGCATCCCTGTCTCTGGCTCGTCTTCCTCCCCACCCGGACTGTGTGTTTCTGATATGATGCTTTTGTGGACGTCCATTCGTATCCCAAAAGCCTGGCTCCCAAAAGAGTTAGTGGGGTGGGGCTGTCACTCCCCTGACTGTTATCCCTCATGACCAGGATCCTGCCTGCTGGGCCCGGGCTCTCACTCTTATGCCCTTTATGGTCATGGATCCTTGAGTCCACACAAGAATCCTCTGGGGAAGGGACTGTTGGCATCCTCATTTTATAGCTGGGAAAAAGGAGATGTCTAGAGAAGTTATGTGACCTGCCCAGGGTCACACAGTGCGGAAGGGGTCAGAACCCAGGCAGAGATGGGCCACTCCCCCCGCTGGCTTGCCTCTGTTAGATGGAAGGAGGCAGGCCCCGAGAGCTACCACATGTCCCAGATCAAGCCGCTGGAGGTTCAGAGGGGCAGGCTTGTGGAGTGTCTGTGAGCCTGATCCAGGTCACTCGGTCTCAAATACCAGCTCTGTTGTTCACTAGCAAAGCACTTAGCCTCTCCATGCCTCATTTTTCCCATCTGGGAAATGGAACTAATAATGTAACTGCCTCACAGGGTTGCAGTGGGGACTGCATTGATAAACAGCAGGTGCTTAGTTGGCGCTGTGCAGGGCCTGGCACTGTGGGTTTGTGGCCTCATCTTCATGCACGGTGGTGCAAGGGCGAGAGGCACCATGGAAAGTGCTTTGGATACCTGCTGGGAAGAGAGCTGGGGGCCCGCAGGACAGGAGTCGCCACCTGAGCATCCTCCCCCACCCACCATACTTTCCCCAGTGGCCACTCTTGGGTCCTGGTCTGCAGAGCTGGGGTGTGTGAGTGCGGTGGTGGGGAAGATGCAAAGACCGAAGAGGGGAGATGCAAAGACCCCTGCCCTCCCTCCTACTTTCCTGGCCTAGCGGCCTTATTTCCCCATGCTCTGGACTTACCAAAGAAGTCTCTCTGGTGGGGCGTCTCAGCTCACATGGCCCTGGATGCCCTTGGGTCAGGGTGGGTGGGGGAAAGTCCTTCAAGTCAGAGCCAGGCTCAGTTAGCTCACCTGCAAAACAGGACAACAGAATCACCACCCCAGGAAAAGAGGACCTTGAATGGTATATAACCATAAAGAAATGATAAATGATTAGGTAATGGATGTGCCAACTATTCTGATTAGGTCATTATATGATATATGCATGTATTGAAACAGCACACTGTACCCCATAAACATGTACAATAAAAAAAGTAAAATCTAAATTAAAAAAAAAAAATCACGTGCTAGGACAGTGTAGAGAATCTAATGAGAGAGGAGCTTTGGGTGTGTTCTAGAAAAGCCATCTTGAGCCCTGTCCGTCAGACAGAGACAAATGTGCAGAAAGGCCAAAGGAGTCTCATGGGACATTTCAGGATTTGAGGAAACCTGTAGTCTGGGTCCTAGGTCATGGACAGTGGTGCCACCCTGAGTTGACTGCCAGGCACCTCTTGGTGGTGTTCATGGGAAAATGGTGTCAGTGGGTCATGGAATTTCACCCCCCCCCCACTGCTCTTGGAAGGACACACGAAGGACCAGGACCTTTGGCAGAGGGGAGAGGTGAGCAGAGGCTGGATGTAAGGCACAGGGTGAGCTTGCTCCCCGAGATGCCATTTATGTGTGGGTGTCTGTGTGCGGGTACGTGTGCATGCTGATGCACACACATGCCCTTCGCCAACCCAGCTGATCTGCTTCTGTCACTCCTGACCAACGTGCCCCATGCTGAGCCCAGGCAGGTGAGAGGAGGCAAAATGTGAGCGTGGAAGGCAGCAAGGCTGTGCAGCAAATGGCCCCCACTGCTCTTGGAAGGACACACGAAGGACCAGGACCTTTGGCAGAGGGGAGAGGTGAGCAGAGGCTGGATGTAAGGCACAGGGTGAGCTTGCTCCCCGAGATGCCATTTATGTGTGGGTGTCTGTGTGCGGGTACGTGTGCATGCTGATGCACACACATGCCCTTCGCCAACCCAGCTGATCTGCTTCTGTCACTCCTGACCAACGTGCCCCATGCTGAGCCCAGGCAGGTGAGAGGAGGCAAAATGTGAGCGTGGAAGGCAGCAAGGCTGTGCAGCAAATGGCCGTGGTCCCCGAGTGCCCTCTCGGAGCTCCCCCCAGCCCTCCCCTATCTCCCCTTTGCCCTGACACTGCCCTGGTGGCCATGTGCCTTTGCAGGGCACTGAAGTCATGGGCTGCAAAATTGGGGCAGAGGGTGGGGCCTGAGAGGCCCATGCACATGCATGCAGAAGGGGTCTCCCCTGAGGCAGCCCTGCGCATTACCAGAGGCTGGAGAGTAGAGTGGTTTTGACCCAGCAAAGGGGTGGGGCAGGGCCTGGGACAGCACTTTGGCCTCCTTCTGGGCCCCCCTCTTCATGCCTTCTCACTTGCCTCCCCGGCAGTGGCCCTGCCACCTGAGAAGACTGACGGACTGGGCAGTGGAGATGAGAAGAGGATGGAGAAGGCCGGTGAATCTTGCCTGGGCTCCAAGAAGCAGCTGAAGTTCGACGTAAGTTTCCTCTCCAGGAGCTGGGCCCTAGGGAGATGGGTTTCATCTTCTAGGTGGTGCTTTGCGAGGAGGGAAGCTGAGGCTCATCCAGACAGGAGGGCCCCTTACCTCCTGCATGAACAGCTACCCTCTGTGGGGGGGTTCCTCCTGCCACATCCAGGGCTGCCCCCACTCAGTGCAGGCCCCACTGCCCATACCCCTCAGCTGAGCCCCTGGCCTCTCCACGTGGGGGTGGCCAGAGCATATGGCTGGGCAGTGGCCCAGTAGCCCAGGAAAGGGCATGAGAGTGGACGTGGGGCTCTGGTGTTGCTTTTATCCCTCTGGGCCTCAGTTTCCCTGTGTGGCCAGCACAAGGGGTACGCCCTCCCAGAACTCACAGGCTATCCATCCTGCCCTCCCCTTTACCCCAGCAGTGTACTAAGCTCCTTCTGTGCACCAAGCACAGTGTTGGTGATGACAGCGAGACCCAGGCCTGCCCACATGGAGCTTACCACTTCTCTCCACCCTCCCTTTCCCCTCTCTCCTTCCTGAGACAACTGGGACATAGCTCTGGGGTCAGCAGACTGGAGCTAAAATCCTAGCTATACCACTTAGTAGCTGTGTGACTTGAGGACAAGTCCCTCAGTGTCTTAGTGGTCTCACTCGCCTTGCCTGTAAAATGAGGATGGTAACAATATCTGCCTCCTAGGATAGCATGAGCATATGAGTTCACACACTTAAAGTGTCCCAGAGGGCACCTGGGGCAGAATAAGCACTTTCCTTCTTTCCAACCAATGTTGATTGGGCACCTGCCAGTTGCCAGGAGACCTAGCAGTGAACTGGGTGTGGTTCCTGTCCTCACAGAGTGTGGAGTGTGGCAAGGGGGACAGATGAGTGACCCCAACCCAGCCAGCGCACATGGTGATATGCTGGGGGTCTGGGAGCACAGCGGGTGGTTGCCTAAGTCAGGCTGGAGGGGTGCAGAGTGAGGCACACTGGAAGTTCTCGACTGTGCAGAGCCAGGAGACGGGCCACACAAGGGAGTTTTTGGGATAAGAAGGGTGTTTCAGGCAGAGGGAACAGCAGGAACAAAGGCCCAGAGGCTTGACGGTGCTGGAGTAACAAGCTGCAGTGTGTGGCTTGCATAGGGATGGTGGGGCATGCGGGAAGAGAGCACAGGAAAAGGGGGCAAGACCATTGACCAAGAGCCCTGCATGCAGGAGTTGAGGGGGGACAGGCTATATCTAGTTGAGGAGCTAGGGTTGCCAGCTTCTTCCTGGTGTCCACTCCTGCGCTGAGCCCACCTGAGTGCCTGCAGGGTCTCCTGGGGTGCCCGGCAGAGCTGAGGGCTGAGCCCAGCAGCAGGAGGAAGGCCCAGACCCAGGCATCTTGCTTCTCTGGAAGCCGAGTGTGTCTGGTTCTGGAGAGGGGCTGGCTGCTTGGGACTGAACCATGATCTGTGAGGAGGACTCACCTGAGAAGTCCAGTTGGGGTGGAGGTGGAGGGCCGGGGAGATGCACACATGGCAGGGGTGGAGCAGGTGGGGGCAGTTACTCAACCCGTGTGTCTGAATTTCAAACCAAAGCTGTCTTGGATATAGGTAAACGCTGTGTGTGTGTGTGCATGTGTGTGTCTGTGTGGCTCATGCATCATGCACATGAAACGGTCCCCAGGAGAGCAGAGCGGGCACTTGGCAGGTATCAGATGGGCATGTCACAATTGAGGGAAGGCCGACTTTGAACTCAGCATGGGCTGCCCAAGAACTGCTGGAGAGAAATGGCTTCGAGTTGCAGAAGCCAGGGGTGGGAACGCCACCCTCAGGCACACTTGTGCCAGGTACCAGGTCCTTTCCCCTCTCTGGGGCCCGAGCCCTTCCTCATGACCCACCAGCTGGGGTGCCAGCTTCTTCATAGCAGAAGAAGGCAAGGTAGAGTGAGGCAAGACGTGGGACAGGATGGTCTGGGAGCATCTGTTCTTGCTTTCATAGAATCTTATGGGACTTAAGAGCCATTTGTGGAACCTCTTTCCCAAAACAGCATTCTTTCTAGAACTCTCCCTGTGATACTCAACCAGCCTCCACGTATAAACCTCCAGTGAGGGAGCTCACCACTTCCCTGCTCAGATTCCCTGGAGTTAGACAACCGTGGGTTATCGCGAGTAATAATAATGAAGTTATTGTTGGATTAATCATTATAGCAAAAACAGTAACAGCTACTACCATTAATTGGGCTTTCCTATGTGCCAGACAGTGTGCAAGTGCATACGTAAACTACACAAGTATTTACACTACATTCCTTGTTTCCAGTTGCCCTAAGCAGACCCTTAGACAAGGCCTTGGGAGCAGGTGGTGTATTTGGGAGGAGATCCCGGGGGCAAGTGCAGAGGAGCAGGGAAAGGGAGGCCAGTAAAGGGGCTTAATGTGTGGGTCATGGGCACAGGCCGCTGGGGCTGAGTCCCTCTGGGGAATGTGGAGGCCTGAGGAGGCTGGGCATTCGTCCACTGGCTCCTGTCCCTCCCTTGTTCGGGTTGCCTGTGGACATTGAATCCCTGCCTCTTCAGGGCTGCCCTCAGGCAGAGGAGCAGGCACCTGAGCTGGGAGTTCGGACACTGTCTACCACAGCTTCAGGGAAACTGAGGTGGGCTGAGGGGACATGGGACATTCAGTCTTCCCAACAACCTTATGGGATAGATACTGTCATTTTCCATGATTTGAATGTGGGAAACTGAGGCACAGAGAAGCGCAGTGACATGTCCAGGGTCAGGCAGGGATGGAACCTGGGCTGAGTCTGGAATCTTAGCTCTTAATGCCTGTCCTCTCCTGCTTCCAGCTCAGGGGGCCCAATCTGGAAGTCCTGGGCTTCCCAAGCTGCTCTTCCCCATGCCTTCTAGTTGTTTCTAGCCCTTGGCCCTAGTTCAGCCTTTCCGAGGCCATAAGCCTTCTCTCAGGCCCTCCCTCCCACAGGCATCTCTCCCAGGCCTCCCTGGCTGGCCATGTCTTGGTCATCGTGCTCCTTCGTGCAGGGTCTGGGAGGGCAGAGGGCAGGTAGCTTCCCCTTGGCCTGGCCTCTGGGCCCAGGCACCCCCCACCCCTTGGTTGTTGTTCCTTCTGATTGGTGACAAGCCCTCCTGTCTGTTGTGTCCAGGAGCTGCAGTGCGACGTGTCCGTGGAGGAGGACAGCCGGCAGGAGTGGACCTTCACCCTGTACGACTTTGACAACAATGGCAAGGTCACCCGTGAGGTGAGTGCGCCTGCTCAGCTCCCTGCCACTTGCCATGCGCCTGGGCAAAGGGACCAGGCACAGCACCCTGCCACCACTGCTCTCTGCTGAAGGCAGTCCTGCTCCTGAGGGAGGGCTCCACAGGCAGCGGCTGGAGCTTCTGGGAGACCTGGAGGGGCCTCCCCGTGCTGCCAGGGAGTAGAGAGAGCTGACAGGGAGGAAGGGGTAGCCAGGCTGCCCTGCACTCAGCTGAGGCACAGCTCGAGCTGGGGAAGGGGCAGGGGCAGGCGCAGAGCCCCAAGGGTTCCCCAGAGAAGGACCCCGAGCCCCAGGAGTCCTGTAGTGCTTCCTTCTCTCTGTGGTCCAGAGATCTAGAGGCAGGGCTGGGACCATCCCAGGCCACCACTGCCCCCACGTAGCTATACTGCACAGGAGTTTGGGGTGGGGACAGCACACAAAGTCCCTGCAGTCCCCAACATACAGGGCACAGGAACAAGCACCCCCAGCTCTATGGGTCCTGTGAGCAGCTCTGTGGTCCCAGCTCTGGTCACAGCTTCATCCCAAGCTTGTCCTTCCTCATCCTTCCCCTCTGCATGCCTCAGTCTCTACCCCCTCTCAGAGCCCTCTTCCCACAACTCTCCTCCTTGAGTTCCTCTCACCCTTTCTCCATGACTGTGTCTCTCCATATTGAGCACCTACTGTTTACTAGGCATGAGGACACAGCAGGGAATAACACAGACACAGTTCCTTGACTTGTGGCCCTGACAGTCTGATGAGGGCGGCAGATCCAATTATAGGATAATTGTCAGCTGTGATGTATTCAGTGAAATAAACAAGCAGGGTGGTATGACAGAGATTGGCCAAGTGTCCAGGGAAGGCCTCCTGGAGGAGTTAACATAGGCGTTGATCTGTGCAGTGTGCAGGGCAGGCGGAAGGAGTCCTGGGCAGGGGGAGTGGGAGCACCCAGGGTATTTAAGGAACTGAAGAAGACCTGCACGGTGGCCATTTCTTGGCCACCCAGCTATGGCTGGGAATATGGCAGAGCCAGTTCTGTGGGGCCTTGAAGGCTCTGGCAAGCAACTTGGATTTGATTCTGGGTGCTCAGGGAACGGCTGGAGGGCTGAAATCATTCCTTCTGCCTCCTTATCTCTCTTATAGAGAGGCCTGAGATTAGCATGGCTGAGCTCCATGCCCACTCTTGTGTGGCATGCAGGGGCTTCAGGGTTCTCCCGGAGAGGCGTGAAGGTTTGCTGTCTTATTTGCTCACCCTGAGTCAGGGCTGAGTATTTTCTTCCCTGTGGATAGTGCCTTTAAGCTGCCAGAGGGGAAACCTGGGTTTAAAAGGCTACCTCCTCCTCAGGCTGTGGTTTAGGGGATGTTAGAACAGGTTGGAGGAGGAAGCTATGACTGATTTTTTATCATTCAGGACTCTGACATGTAAGTAACAGAATCCCAGCTCAAACTGCTATAAGGAAAAAAAAAAAAAAAGAAAGAAAGGAAAAGAAAAAGAAATATATTGGCTCATGTAACTGAAATTTGCCCTGGGCACTGACTTCAGGCATGGCTGGATCCAGAGGCTCCGTGTCTTCAGGACTAGGTGTTCTTCGTGGCTGTTTCCTCTGTGTTCCCTTATTATCAGGCAGGCTCTCCCCTTGGCGGTATCAAGATGATTGCTGACAGCTTTAACCCATATCACATCCTCTTGGCAAACCCCCAATTTTAGAAGTTCCAGAACCAAATCTCACTGGCTGCTCTGACAGCCAGGCTGGGCTTCTCCTCACGGGGGTGCGGTGGCATCTCCCTCCTGTCACATGTGCAGCAGTAAAGACAACTCAGCCCCTTGCAGCTGCCTTCTTCAATACTTTCTGGTCAGAAGATGCTGAGGAGCCTCACATGCTGACCACAAAAGGTTTGTCCCCAAACCTTTTCTTGCAGAAATCTGCAGACAGATGCTGCTTTCTGGATCTGTATCATATCCATGTCCTCCTTAACTGCCTTGGTAATGAGAGGAAGGACAAGAGGGTTTCCAAGGAAGGTGGCCCAGCCTGGCCCTAGAGAAAGTGTCCACTGGATTGTGGCTTCCTCCTACCCAGGAGCCAGGAGACTGGCTTCCAGTCGAGGGAGGACAAGCCTGGTGTTTCCCCTGGTCTAATTTTAGCCCAAAGTTGCTCCTCAAATCTGGCCATAAATACCATTTCCCTCCACGCTTTCTGGACTTCATCACGTACGTTTCCGTGTGCCAGAGCTGACAGGCTCCCGCTTCACTGCATCCACAGCCCAGAGCGAGCGTCTGGGCTGACTTTCCAACTTGGAGAAAGGTACCCATTCATCCTTTGGGTGTTCATTTGTGCAGGAAATATTCATGGGCACCTATTCCCACGGGCCTGGCCCTGTGCAGTCCATGGGGTTGATTTTCAACCTGGAATGGCCAAGACACACCTGTTTAAAGGCCTGAGTCAGCCAAACCTGCTGGGATCACACACCAGGCCCCTGGCCTTCTAAGGAACAAGATGCTCAGGGGGATGATGTTGGTGGACCTCAGTTGGCTCATCTGTATAATGATGCCTCCTCCATGGGCATCCCAAGATGGTGAGTGGTTGTACAGAGAAGCTCAAGGAAGGCAGAAGAGGAGTCCTTGGTGGGCCGTATGGAAGAGCTGGCATCACCAGTACACCAGCAAGTGAGTGACTAAAGCCTGGTCTCAAACCAGTGGCCCCCACAATCCCAATCTGGCTCCCAGATGTTCTGGTCTGGTCCCTAGAGCAAAATTAAATTGGTTGCTGGTATCAAAGATTCTGAAGATTTAACAGAAGATGCTGGATTTCTGGCTTCTCTGGGATAACCCTGGGTCTACATTGTCAGTGGGCAAGTCTGCTGAGCTGAGCAGCCACCACCTCCTATGGCGGAGGCCAGTGCCCCGTTGGTCCCCACCACTCCGGCCACCCGTCCATATACCCGCAGGGACTCTGCCTCCTCTGCCTAAGGCTTACAGGCAGGGGTTAAGGGAGGACCAAGTCTGTCTGAACTCATGAAGAATTGGTGGCCAGATAACTGACCAGCTGTTGGCCTAATCGGCGGAGAGAATGTGTCTTCTCTGGAGGAGTCCAGCATCATTATAAAGCAAGAAGCTGCCCCTCAGACACATGGCCTCACAGATGCCAGAACAAAGGGAGGCCTAGTGTGGGGAACACGTACCTCTCCACCCCTAGTCAGAAGTCTGAGGCTTCTCATGGAGCATCGTTTGAAGACTCTGTTCTGGTCTTAAGAGGATAACTGAGGCCTAGAGAGAAGAGATTTGGTCAAGTTCTCACAGAATAGTTTATCTTTTAGGGATAATCTTAGTCTGCTCAGGCTGCCATAACAAAATGCTATGGACCAGTGGTTTAAACAACATAAATTTATTTCTCACAGTTCTGGAGGCGGGAAGTCTAAGATGAAGGTGCCGGCTGATTTGGTTCCTGGTGAGGGCTCTCTTCCTGGCTTGCAGACAGCAACCTTCTTGCTGTGTCCTCACACGGTGGAGGGAAGAACTCTGGTGTCTCTTCCTCTTCTTATAAAGGCACCAGCCCTATTAGATTAGGGACCCACCTATATGACCTCATTTAACCTTAATTACATCCATATTCAAAATACAGTCATATTGGGGATTAGGGCTTCAGCATATGAATTTTGAGGGGACACAGTTCAGTCCATGGCAGGGACATGTGTCCTCTTCCATTTTTGCGCCCATCAGACCTGAAGCAGATGCTGTTGATGCCCCAGCCCTGTATTCTTTGGGCCCACCTCCAAGTTCACCTGTTGCCATGGTAGATAGAGCTCACCATAGAGCTTTTGCTGGCGCTGGGGGCTGGCTCAGCCCTTGCAGGGCTGCCTAAAAGTATGGGAATGTTGCATCCTTGGGGCACCTCTCAACCACTGGGTATGAGAGCCAGTTTATAAATCCCCATCTGGATGAGACTATTCGAGGTGACTCCTCACTATCCCCCACAGGGCCCCAGTGCAACTGAGCCCCAGTTACCCACAGCCGTAACCTTCTGCTTCAGTTTTTCTTTATGGCTTTTTCCTCCTTCACCCTCTCTACTCCCTTACTCCTGCTTCCGAGGATTTCCTCCCTGCCATATGAACCACTGACATTTAGGTTTCTGCCTTCGGCTCTACTTTGGGGGAACTAGAGGGGTTTCAGCACTTCAGCGTCAACCAGGCCCTCTGTTTGCCGTCTCTGCATGGGTTCCTGCTTCCCTCCCCATCCAGGACATCACCAGCCTGCTGCACACCATCTATGAGGTGGTTGACTCCTCTGTTAACCACTCCCCAACGTCAAGCAAGACACTGCGGGTGAAGCTCACCGTGGCTCCCGATGGGAGCCAGAGCAAGAGGAATGTCCTTCTCAACCACGCCGGTGAGGGGCTGCAGAGCAGCCCAGTCCCATCTCTCAGGAAGGATCAAAGCCTGCCTGGGAGGAGTGGGAGGGAGTCTGGGGGGCTTTTCTTGGGGAGCTTCTTTGTGGACAGGTGGGGTATAAATGTGTCCTTGAAGGAATAGGCTTGGGAGAGGGAAGAGGAGGATTCCGGATGGGTGGCCCTGCAGAGGCAAAGCCATGGAGGGGGGCGTGGGCATGGCAGGCAGCTATAGCGAGGTTTGTATTGAGGTGAGGGTGGTAGGGCAGGGCCCTGAAGGCCAGCTAAAGAGTCTGGGGGAGGAGGCAAGTGGGACAGGTAGCTATGGCATCACTCTGTTTAGTCCCAGCCCGGAGAACCCTCTCACAGAGCCGCTGTGAAGCTGCTCTAGGTGTTTTCAAGGACAGCATGCCAGGCAGTCATCTGGGCAGGGCCAGCCACAAATGGCTCACAGGTGTCTCTTGTCCTTCTTGGGCGGGACTCAGACCTGCAGAGTACAAGGCCCAGAGCGGAGACCAAGCCTGCCGAGGAGCTACGAAGCTGGGAGAAGAAGCAGCGAGCCCCCCTTAGGTATGGCGGGCACGGGTGGAGGCAGCACATGAGCACGTATTGAGCACCAGCTGTATACTTGTATCAGAGGGATTCAGAATAGGAGGCTCCAGTCTGTGCTCTCTTTAGATGCACAGACTTACCAATTAAACTCTAAATTTTAAAAAATAACTAAACATTAAGTCCCCATCCCTTTATGTCAAACATTTTGGGCCAGACATAATTAGGCATTCGGGATTTGTTGGGCTTTTGAAAGGTGCTCCAGTGTATTCCTCGTGAATTATATGTGGAGTTTGGACAGCACTACAGGGTTTAACACACTGATATTTCTGCTGGGAGATACATGGATATTCACAATAAGTGGAGTTAAAGACCATAAACAGATCCCCATCCCTTTAGGGTGGGCGTGGTTGCCAAATGGGTAGGAAAAATCTTTGTTTTCAGCCTTTTTGGATTTCAGAATTGTGGTTAAGGGATGGTGGGGCTTCAGTTACCTTTCACCTGTTGTTATTTCTATACCTGCAAGGAAGGGAGGGAGGAAAGGAAAGAGAGAGACTGTTTTTAAAATCAGCATTGAGTAAATAACAGTCATATGGCAGGTGTGAGCATATGCTAACAACTCATGTGCAGATGGTAAGGAAGTGCCTGCAGTTGGATTAGTGCAAGTGCAGGGGAAAGAAAAGGCAGTCAAGGCAGGGGACGCAGTGTGGTGTGGGGAGAGGGCTGAGAATCACAGTTATCTAGGCTGGCTGGAGATTGGGGTGTGTGGGGAGGAAGACAGGCATATGGGGGCAGGCAGACTTCAGAGATCCCTAAAGGGGAGGGGCAGAGAGCCCAGAGTCCTGCAGGGGAGAGAGGAAGCCTCAGGCAGCACCTCTCTTCAGACCCCCCCAACACACTCTCACACACACACACACACACACAATGGTAAGGCCCATTCTGGACTTTGGGGTGGGACATGGAGTCGGCAGCCTCAACTCCAACGATTTGGGGGGCTTCTGCTGCCCACACCCCCTGGGGCACCATGCTCGGCATCAGGCTGCCTGCCTGCAGTGGGCACACATGGTTTGAAGCCTGGCTTTGGAGCATCTTTACATTTTGAACAGTAGCCCCTCACATTTGCTTTGGGCCTGTTCACACCAAAGTCCCTATCCACTCCTCCCAGAAACCCCATGGAGACCAGGCAGTGGTCTCTCTCTCTCTGCTGGTGGGGGAGGAAATGGGGGTGCAGACTGCAGCGATCACTATTCCTCCCGTGGCTGGACGGGCCAGGCATGCCATGCTGGTGGTGTTCCCCCTGGGCTGGGGAAAGACGTAGCTTTTATTGGACGGGCCAAAGAGTTTTCTTGGAGGAGGTGACATTAAAAACATTTTCAAAATTAAAGTAATACATATACACATAAAGTTGAACAAGATCAAATAGTATCCAAGGGCCTAGAATATAGCAAAAACAATAGTTCTGTGCCTCATCCCAGCCCACCCCCAGCCCTGTTCCCAAGACAACCACTTTGACCTCTCGTGGCTATTCCAGCGAGGACCTCGGTTTCACTACGCAGACCCCTGCTCTGTCTTCACCAGCCTTCAACAGCTGTTGGCCTCTTGCTAAATTTCACTCCCCAACTCCCTTCTCCTCCCCTTCCTGCTAATAATGTATGTCATTCCTCTAGGGGTTACCTCTGTACATGTTCAGTAGTGGATTTAGAATTCTTTCTTGCCCCAATGACCTTAGACAGTTGTCAGGGTCTCTGCCACCATCTCTCTTTCTCAGCTCTCTCTCAGAAGGAGAGTTTATTATTTTTGAAGACCTAGCAGATGGGAAAGTTCCATTTCAGAAAGTTTTCCTCCAAGGCAGTGAGGGACAGTTGGGGAGTGGTGGGTAGCTCTGAGAAGGGACACCTGGCGTTTATCGGTCTTGGAGAGCTGGGAGTGGGGGTGACTTCTGGGGAACGGCGCAGCCCCGGCACACAGGAGGGGCTCATGAAATGTCTGTTGGATTGGTTCCTAGGCTCCCCTTCAGTGGCCCAGAAGTCAGAACTGCCCCCCCGCACCTCCAACCCCACTCGATCTCGCTCCCATGAGCCGGAAGCCATCCACGTCCCACACCGAAAGCCCCAAGGCGCGGACCCAGGCTCCTTGCTCTTCCTTGACACCCCAACCGCCAAGGTCTCGGAGCTCCAGCAGCGGCTCCGGGGCACCCAGGACGGGAGCAAGCACTTTGTGAGGTCCCCCAAGGCCCAGGGCAAGAGTGTGGGTGTGGGTCACGTGGCCAGAGGGGCAAGAGGCAAGCCCCCTCTGGGACCCACCGTCCCTGCAGTGTCCCCCTCCACCCACCTGGCCTCCAGCCCGGTCCTCCTCCCCACCCTGGCACCCCTCGGGCACAAGAAGCACAAGCACCGAGCCAAGGAGAGCCAGCAGGGCTGCCGGGGCCTGCAGGCACCGCTGGCCGCGGGTGGCGCCGTCTTGGGGCGGGAGCAGGTGAGGGAGCTGCCCGCTGTGGTGGTGTACGAGAGCCAGGCCGGGCAGGCGGTCCAGAGACACGAGCACCACCACCACCACGAACATCACCACCATTATCACCACTTCTACCAGACATAGAGCCCCTCCCCAGGGACCCTCCCCCACCATATGAAGGACCCCCTCCCCCAACATCCCCAAGGCATTATTATTCTATTAATTATTGTTATTATGACGATTATTGTTATTAATAATTATTGTTACTCCACTAATATTTAGCTAGCTTTCATGTAGAAGATATATGGAAACACAGAACTAAACTTTTATTTATATGTGGGGGGGGGGGGACTGTATAACTTACCCAGGAAATAACTCTGGGTTTGGAAGTGGCCTGTAGATGGCAGAGGCTCCCTTGGGTCTGGGGAGCTGCAGTGTCCACGTGGATTGGACACTGCACCACACCATGGGAGCCATCGGCCCCAAACTCTGCCCACCCCAGTCTCTTCCAGGAGAATACCCTTTCCTGGCCCGGCTTCCAGAGACCCTCGAAATCTCCGAGAAGATAAACAGCTGCTACCTCTTAGTATTATTCTGATTTTATTTTGCCCTTCACTGATTGTAACATGCTACAAGGGATTTCAACGGACTGCAGATGCACGACTTCCTTGCTGTTGTGTTTTTATGTCCCAACCTAGAAACCTTAGCTGTCCTTTCTGGAGTTATCCTCCCTACGTTTCCAGTGGGATCACTCCCTTGCCCCAAACCACTGCCATCTTTTCTGTCAAATATACTGCTACTCCTTTTTTTTCCCTCCTGTTCTCATCTTTAGAAAGATAAACACACATATTTAAGGACTGTCCCCCAAACCAGCTCATTTTGGAAACTGCTAGAGAGAGAACCAACCTCATAAACGAGCATGGTTTTCCAAGATCGGGCAATTGTATGTTGTTGGTTGTGACCAAGGATGGGGAAACCTCGTGTTTTACCCTTGGCAAATACACATGTACCCACGTGGTTCTCTAACAGAGCTTTCTGTACCTATAGATAGATGGCATCTGTCCGTTTCTATGTATCTTTCTATAAATATACACTCTCAGGTATTTTTTCTAGTGTGCAGAAATCAGTGGTTTGCTTCTCTGGATGCTTCCTAAGCCCAGAGGTGACTCTGCATGTCTCCTGTTGGGCCGATGTCCCTCAGATGTGAATAGCCACTTGCCTCTGGTCAGAGGTTCTTTCTTGGGATTTGGGATCTGACAGGTTTTGGAGAGACCTGCTGGGGTACAGAAGCTTGGAGGGAAATGGGGACAGTGGCTAGAGTTGGGACCATGGAGCAGTGTGCTCTGCAGAGAAGGATTTTGTCTGGCCAGAACCTGGGGAGACCAGGTAAAGGACCACTGTCAACCTGTTGGAGTCTCCACAAAAAATAGATCACACTCAAATTCAGTAACTTGAGGAGTTTAATAAAGGGAATATTTACAAAGTGTGGGCTAAGCCTCCCGAGAGAATCCCGGGGCTAGTCCTATGGGATGTCACTCCTACCCCTGGGCCTGAGGGGCGAAGGCAGGAGTCACCTTCAGCAGACAAAGGGTTGGGGGTCTGGGAAGGGACACCTAAAGGAGCTATGACTTTCACTTGAGGGATGCAACCCACCATGGAGACCCTACAGGGAAACGAACATCCTGACCTCACTCTCCTGCCCCCTTCCGAGTTGGACTGTGGCACCATTGGCTGAAAGCACTGGGAGCCAGAGGGCCAGGGAGCTGGTTGATGTGGGTCACATGGGCATTCGTCCAGGGCAGAGAGGAGAGTGGAGGGTGGATCTGAAGGGACGCGAGAAGGAAAAGCGACTCCAGCCTCCATCCTTTCTGCTGTTTTGTGTCTCCACTGGTATCCTCTTTTCCAGAGCCTCAAGTCAGGGTTTAATGTAGTTAGTAGGGAGTTATTTCTGAAGGTATTGGGCTTTAGTTGTTGTCACTGCATTATTAGCTTAACTAATTACTGGTGTGCCTGGGACTGGATTAATATGTTAATCTTTAAGACATCCCATGAGGCAAGCAGTGGAAGCTCAGGGAGCACATCTCAGGCTCAGAGAGGGTAAGTAACTGTCTTGAGACCACACAGCAGCTGGCAGAGCTGGGATTCTAGTCTTGCACATGATCCCTTAACCACTGGTGACGGGCTTAACCACTGACTTTGAGCTTCCCTTGTTTTGGGTTGTGGGTTTCCGTTCAGTCAGGATCCAGCTCAAACCGAGGTGAGTGTATGTAAGCAAACTGGGGGAGGACAGGGAGGGAGCTGGCTTTGAGATGACAGGATCCAGGATGTGAATGAAGCTGAGACTGGCTCTCGTCACTCCCTCCCTGGATATATACTGGTTCCCCATGACGTCCATTGTTGCGGGTCCCTGGCTGCTGGCGTTCTGGGTCCCACAGCCTGAAGGAAAAGGATCTTCCACTAGTGGAAACCCCAGGGAAGGATTCTGACTGGCTGGCTGAGATATGGTACCCATCCCTGGATTAGTCACCGTGGCCCAGCTGGGTCACACTGTCCACTTGTGGCAAGGGCACAGGGTCTGTACTGGAAGACGGGGGGGCAGGCAGGGTGCTGAGCAGACCTGAGCTAACAGCACCCCAGACCCAGAATTTCTGCACCCATGGGAACGAGGTGAGACGGGGGCCTCTAATTTTAGAGCAGTTCCTCAGCCTCTGGGAGGAAGTCAGTCCCCTGCTGCCTCCCCGCTCCCCCCCAATGCCCCACACCTGTCAGGATTCTGTTATTTCTTGCTAACTGGCATTTACCCAACTTTTAAAAATTAGTAACGTGCACATATAAAAGATTCAAATAGTACAAAAAGGTGTACAGTAAAAAGGTGTGAACTTCCCGCCATCCCAGGCCCACCAGCATCTGTGATACTGGCTCCCTGGCTGCCTACCAGGACCCTTCTGTATAATGCGTTGGTTGTGAACACACACTTTGCCAGGCTGCCTGGGTTCAAATCCCGATGCCCTCTCTTTGCAGCTCTGTGCTACAAGTGAAATACTGTACCTCAGTTTCCCCTTTATAAAGGGAGAATTGTGAGAGTACCTACCTCACAGAATCCAAGGAGTTAAAATGCCTGGCTCGTGTGAGTGCTGTCACAGTGTTCCCTGCCATCCTTTACAAGAACATATGCATTTATGTAAAATATCTCTCCACTTAAATTTTTAAAATTTTTTAAATATTTCAAACACAAAGTTTGAAACAGAAAATTGTATAGCAGTAACTGAACACACCACATAGAACTTAGAAATGCTGACATTTTGCAATATTTAGTTCAGATCTATTTTTAAGAAAGAAAACCCTGCAGTCACTGCTTAATCCCCTTCCCACCCCACCCTTTTATTTTTACACAGGAGTAGCATAGTAGTCATACTTAGGCCCCTTTCCTCTGCGACCTAATATATTTGCAGATCTTTCCCCCTCGGTCATAGAGCTCTGTCCCCTTCTCTTAACAGCTGCTCGGCCTTCTATTACTCAGAGGTGCTGTCAGGGACTGCCCCCTCCCCTCCTGGTGGGCATGCGGGTCATCTCTCATCCTGGGCTCCGACAGACACACTGCAGTGAGGGTCCTTGTGCATGGCTTGTTTTGGCGCCCACCAGCAGGAGCAGGGGCGATGCAAGGTGTTCCTGCAGAGCTTCTGAGTTCAAGAGCAAGAGAGATTCCAATTTTGATGCCATTGTAAATGGCCTCTAAAAGAGGTTGTACTGAAAAATGAGAAATTGAAGGAAGGGGCCAGCTCGGTGGCGCACGGGAGAGTGCGCCGCTTGAGAGTGCAGCGGCGCTTCCGCTAAGGGTTTGGATCCCATGTGGAGACCGGTTCCCGCTCACTGACTGAGCGTGGTGCGGGCGCAGCACCAAGGGTTGCGATCCCGTTACCGGTCAGTAAAAAAGACAAAAAAAAAAAAAAAAAAAAAAAGAAAAGAAATTGAAGGAAGAAGAAAGAGAGGAAGGGAGGGAGGGAGGAAGGAAGGGAAAGCAAACGGGAAGGGACAACCATGCTTCTTAGTGAGGCTTTGAGCATGTTTTCCTGTGGGCTGGTGTGGGCGAGAAGTTGGGTCTTGTTTGCAGATCTCCTGACATGCATTCCAGAGGAGCATGGGGGCTCTTCTGGGTCCTGGAGAGCTTGTAGGGGAGACGAGCCTCCAGCAGTCGTGGTGACCGCAAGCACTAGCTGGTCGGCACAAGGATGGCCCGTTTCTGCTGATCTATTGCTGGGCGCTGAGGACACCTGGTGTGTTCAAGGCAGCCAGCCCAGGGAGATTCCTGGGGGCACCCGGGGGGGGCTGGTGCACTTCACGCCCAGCCATGCCAATTACACTTTTTGGCAAAGGAAATAGTCAAGAGCGGTTTCTCTCACTTTATCCCCTTTTTCTTAGTGTTTAGATCTCAAATCATTACTGGGCCAGAGGCGAGGCAGCCTTGGTGGTGGCAGGAGGAGCGGGAAGGCTGCTGCACCTCAACACCCGTTTCTGTCACATGCCGGCACTAATCACCCGGCTTCTGTGACGCCTGTCAGCACTCTTGGGATTGAAAGGGGACCTCTGAAATGTGCTCAGTGCCAGCGGGCTGTGAACACTCCCACCCACCATCCTCACCTCCTCATTTAAGATGGTGCTGCCTGCCACACAGCAGACACCAGGGGACTGCACTTCCCGAAAGACCCCAAGGCAGCCTTGCCCCTTGTCCGGTCACATTCCAGCAGCCACCCTCCCGCCCCTGCCTCTGCTTCCCCAGGCTGGCTGCAGCCAGCCCCCACATCAGCCCTTCTCCAGATGTGTGCAGGGCTGTGATTTGCAGAGTATTCACAGATGGTTCAGCCACGTGCTTTATTGACTCCTAAAAACTGTGCCCAGGACACCTGTCCCCAGTCATTAAAGATTTATCACCTCCCACCGTCATGCCGTTTGTTTGGGGCTCTGATCTGTTTTTTTGTCTCATCACCTTCTGCCAACCAGCAGACCTTTGAACCCCACCCCTCTTCTCACATCCCTGAATGACTGTATGCGAAGGGCTTTCTACACCCTGCATCTTCCTCTAGGAGGAGAAGTGGAAGTGGATTTGAGACCCATTTTCCAGAAGGTGACCCTGGGGAGGAAAAGGA